ATGGACTCTGTGTCATCGACACGATTACGCTTATCGGGATTATTTGCTTGAATATCATCAACAGTTATGCGATGAAGAGGTATGCGTTTGGTCATTTACAATCCGAAGAATGTATAAATAGACACATCTTAAAGGCACATTCCGCGATAAAATAAGGCTATGACCTCTCAAATGTGTCGGACGATCCGGAAGGCGATTTTTGAGGCTGCGCTACTTTCAAAATGTGAAAAACGGCAAGAACTCCGCTAGAAGCTGACTAATTAGGCCCATGGACACCCCTTAGGCCCATGCCGACCCTCACCGGCTGCTAGCTACTAGCTAGTAGCCACTATGTTATCTTTCTCTATAACATTTCGGACTGCTTTTTCTGCTGCTTTTCTCCGCTAATCAGATACTTAGCACTTTTTTGTGCCTATTTGAGTTCCGTTTCCCGCAATTTGCGGTCGCGAACTGTGCCTTTAAAGGGGAAGTATGCGCGTCTAGAAGGGAGAGAAGATTAAGAAAACAAAAGCAGCTGTCTAGCTAGCGTTTTCAGAAACGCATTCCCCTGAAACCCAACGTGGGTTATAACCGTGGTGGACACGGAGGAGTACAGAGCCTATCTGTGAGGACGGCACATGTATTATGACCACCACCCAAACCATCACAGCGGAACATGCCATAGACTTTCTCAGCTTCTCCATTTCAGGTTCAAAAAGTCATACAGTCTGCAGTCATATCAGCTACGTGAAAATGCTAACGTTATTCGAGTGATGCTGCCATTGACTATTTTCCACACCATGTGCTATTTTTTATTCACGCTCGCAGTACCTGTAATCACTGCATTTCGTAGTCAAATGTCATTGGCCACGTTCCAAACTCTCATCACCTCGTCGTATGTAAGTGGTTATTTAGAAAAAAAACCAAAATACCCCTTCCTCTGAAACCTGGAAGGGTTTTCCTCCTTCCTTGTCCTCGATCCCTGTTTAATTACGGAATAATTGCTTCAGACTATTCATTGCAGATTATACCCTACTACACGACAGTTGCTCCAATTCTAATGTGGTTCATTATCCGTTGGTCGAAGCGTATGAAGGCAATCAAGCTGAGCCATCTCAGAGGTGGAAGAAAATCTGAGTGTGATGTCTATTTTCAAGAGCTAAGCAAAATGTGGAACCGCGCTTCAGTTCATAGTTCGACTAACGGCGCTTCAGTTAATAATTTGACTTCTATAAGCAACTGATTTCTGTAAGCGTGAGGATAAGTGTAGGACGATCAGGGTATAGTCCATATCTCAGCCTTGTAAAGGGAATATTCATGGACCTAATGACGAAAGCAGCGCTAAATAGCCAGAAGAGAGAGCCACGCACGAGTTGCACAGACAACGCTCCCGACCATATTGCCCATTCTCGATTGGGTGATGTCTGCAGCCGTCGCGCTCGCAACCAAAATCGGAGACATTTGCCATTCAAAGCCTAACTTTAGACTGTAGGTACGAAAGTTTCTTTTCGTGTTAAACACTTCTTTTCGTGTTAAACACTTTTCAAATTAAACTGGAAACGTTGTATGTGAATAAATGAGCTGAATGTAACTGTAACTAACTGTAACTGCATTGGATTCTCAAACTTGTTTCTTATGCGAGCACCATCTATCTCTCCCACACTCTTGTTTGACCCATATGTCATCTCCGATAGAGAAGAAGAACAGATTCCATCACTCCCAGCACCGTAGTTCATAGTCCTCTTGAAGATGTTGGGCGGGCTTACCTTCGAGATCATAATCCTTGCCATCTGTAAGGTGAGCGGGTCTGCAATGTTCCTTCTCTGAAACTGCACAGAAGCGAGGCTGAAGTGTAGTGATAGCTAGATGCCGTTCAGGATCCCACCCGCTGACAAAGCACACAGACACCGCATCGTGTCCCACGACCAAGCATGCACTTGACTATAGCCGAACGCGCTGCGTGCACATTTGGTTGCTTGTTCCTTTGGCTATTTGGCGTTCTACAATCCGTCGAGTTTTCGCTGCGGGACCTTTGTATCAACGCAAGGGCCTCATGCCGTAGGTAGGAAATGGAACCTGGAAGGGCATTCAGCTATCACAACCTCCTCGCTTAATTTTCACGCCTTTTCAAGTGACATAGGAGCGAACTTCCCAAAATTACGGACAGACCTCTCCATTCCGCACACACTAATGATCCATCTTGCAGATATGCGTACAACGTATCATTAAAAATTACTTCCAAGTATTGCTGTACTGCAGGCCTTCAACAGCTCCCTCTTTGTGTTGTGGCGGCAGAAAGCGCGCAACACACGAATGGATCAGATATCATGTTGCGAATCTGGTTCCAGCCAGAACAGCGGTTTTTATTCCCTCCTGGAGCTGGTTGCAACCAGCCTAATCTGAAGGAGGGCGGGAGGGGGGAAGGTGAGCGAAAGGAGGATTTAAACGAATATATTTAGTTAATATAGTTGCGGTCAGTCGGAACTATTTCAAGTGGGATGGCATGAACCCACCCGCCGCGTTCCCATCACTAGTTGTTTTGTTGCTGAATCGACCACTAACCAAGTACCATTGGTAGAGCAAGGTAGTCGAAGGAGCTCCCCCCCCCACCTCCTCTTGACACCGCTACCGCAAGGCAGATTGCTGCTCAAATGAGAAAGAAAAAAAAAGAAATAAGAAATGCCATTAGAAAAAGTTAAAAGCGTGAGGCAGTCTAGCAAAAAATTAATCGAAGAAAAAACAAAATTAAGAAATGCCATTAGAAAAAGTCAAAAGCGTGACGCAGTCTAGCAAAAAATTAATCGACGTCAAGCCCTTCATCCTTTATCATTGTCCTTTATCAGTCGCTGTTACTGCTTACTGTAACAGTAAATGTCAAGAACCCCTTTGATAAACCCTTCACACATATCAATATCCAGTACACACTTGTTCCTCGTGGATTTGTTCCTCCATTAGAGAATCCCTCACTTATAAGCGATTTTGTTGATGGAGTGGGACGTTATTTCAAGTCAGTTTTCCATGCGCATTGCTTCACTTTTTATCAGTTTCTTAGAACTGATAACATGATGATGAATAGAACTGATGAATAGGAACTGATAACATGATAGTGTTGCTTAATGAAGTCAGAACGCTTGATCTAACGAGAAAAAAAACATGCTTTTTGAAAAGCCTCAGCCTCGAAGGGTCTCTACTCAGTCACAACCCATCGAGTTCCTGATTTTTCCCCCTCGAAGAAAGATTTTGTTTAAGTGTGACTAATAGCTGATAATTGATGTGTGATAGTTGTTTGATTTTATTCGGCAATTAATTGTAATGGTGGTAATTGATGATTCTCATTCTGCTGAAGG